CTCTCCCCCTGAAATATTTGTCTTGGGTCAAAGAAATTGACAATAACACATAAGTAAGCATAAGTTTTTGAAATGGCTTGCAGACCAACTTTGTTGTGTCCTCCAGCAACAGGTACTGTTCACTTTGATTTAGAGAACTGTTTGATATCTTCACATATGGAATTGTGTGGGATTCTCATTCCTATTCTTGTTGATTTTTCAGCATCTATTTGTGACCAATTGCTAATAATAGGCTCATTAGAAAGCAAGCTGTGTTTGTTACACACTGTAGTATCCCAGTTGTTAGATCTTACTGCTAATTTCATAGTATAAGAGAGAGATGTGTGCTTGGTCCACATGGTTACCTTGCTGCTGATTTTTAGTATTTGTGAGGGATGACAATAATTCTTGAAAAGCATATTGGAAAATCTTCACATTGATGGTGCAGGACTCTAAAAATATAATACTTGGATGACTGAATTTTTCTGTTGCTGCTTAAATTTTTTGAAGACTAGAAATTTTGATAAAAGTTGCAGTTTGGTAGCAACTGATCATCCTACAGTGCAAACAAATCATCTTTGGAAAAAAAATCTTAATATGTAAGTGGAGTATAAAAAAGAATCACAGGCTGGGTATGAAAATAAAAGCACGACCACAGGAGAGACAAAGAACCATGTTCCCAAACAGTCCACAATAGTTACATTTTCTTTGAATTCACATGTAATATGCATATCTTAAAATATTTGTAATAGACTGCAGACATCAACTGCTCTGTGAAAAAAAATCTCTAATTTTCTGCATTATGCCTTGATTAATAGAATTGTCCAATAGTTTAAAAATGTAGTTTGTCTGGAAAACGGCGTTGATACGTGCATAAAATGGATCACTAAGAAGTAGAAAGTGAACTTAAGGAAGCTGTAACAGTGCATATATCTCTGCTGAGTTTATGGCCAGAACCCAAAGTCAGCCAAATTCCAGCCTCTCTCTTAGAAGGAAGTTATGAAAATGAGGAGGAACGATGAAAAACCCCAATGCTTCAAAAACAAAATCTGGTCAGAAAGCTCTTCTTCTTTCTTTCCATCTTGGAAATGGTTTGGCAATTTGAATTTCTGCCATCATTTGCCAGGTGTCAGGAAGAGATAAAAAGCACAGAACAGAATGCAAGAAAGACAAAAAGCAGAGCTGAGCAGTGTTTTCCACTTGTCTAGGCAAAATTACTCTGGTATTTGGGAAAGCCAATAGGAAACTTTCAACACAGACATGAGGAAAGAGGCAATTCACTTTTTGAAACGTGTGGACTGGAAACTTGCTGCCATCCAGTGGCAGCAGATAACTGTTTCCATGAACTAGCCCTTGGAATTCAGTGCGAGCCTGCCACCCTATCTATAGACAGACGGGGTCTGGGACTCCTGGGTTCTCATGAGAGGAGCTTGGGGTGTACAGCACACAGGCTGAGGCACAGCCCACTGAAAGGGAGCATTAAAGGTGAGGGTGAAGACCCTGCTAAAACCGAGTGGTTAATCTTCCCTTGTTGCACCTCTCTTTAAGAAAAATGCCAGAAGTCGCATACAAAATTTGCTATTCAAATGTTGTTCAAGACCAAATACATGCAGAATTGCACTTAGTATGCACATTTTCCTCACCATATTGAAGCAGGACATCTGTTAGGGGTTAAAAGTGGCAGACCAAATGCTCGCTGTCTGGCAGGTCACTTCACAGACATAAAGTTGTATTGGTCATGAGAAAAAGTAATTTCAAAGTATTCTTTTATTGTAAAATTTAAGTACTCTTTTGAGGGTTATTTTGGGATGAAGACAGAGGTGCATACTCTGCTACATCAGACAATTGAGGAATTCTTCTGTAAGAATAAAAAGCAAAATTTAAGCATCATAAGAAATTTGTGTCATGAACAGCCAGGCAGTGTTAAGCACAACAGTGGTATAGGTGGAGGTTTCTTCCACTGGTAAAGGTGCTGATTTAAAGAAACACGGGTAGAGTTACAAAAAAACCCAAAAACCGAAAAAGCTCAACAAAATAGAAGCAAAATACAGCATATAGGAATTAACTTAGAGAAAAAAAAGTTTCTTTTGCATGAGAAAGTCAGTCTCTGAATCTATTTTACTTTGTAGCTCCTATTCATTTTGTTCCATCACCTGATGTCCAGTTGACTTGCATACTGAGCTACTCAATTTTTTCCTAAACAAATTCTTCTTCCTGAGCCCTCCAAAAAGAGCTATAAAATGTGGTCAGTGATACCAGCCTGGCTGAGAAAGAAAGTGGTTTTTTACCTTTCTATAAGAACTTCCAACAGATAGCCTTTCCAGGCTGCTGACTGTAGGAAGGATTTTGTTCTCTCTCTTGCATCATCAATATGCAATTGAATCTCTCACATTTTTCCAGAATTCATTACTTCACCTTCTATTGTTCAAAATCTTCACGTAATAGCAAAAGGAACCTTTAGAGGTGCAAAGACTATATCTAAGAGAAAACTCCAAAAGTGTCACGGACATAATATACTACAGAATATGAATGCCATGATACAGTACTGAAGTGGAATGGTGAAGAATGCCCTTTGACTCTCATCCTGGAAACACCTAGCCAGTTTCAAAAACCTTTTACATCAGCAGTTGCTTATTATCCTGCATTGAAACATACCATAATGATTTTTGGTATGTGAAAGCCTTCAAAATATATTCATCTTGTCTGCCAGAATTTTGAATGCTGAAAATAGCATGTCATAAATTTTAACAGAAGGCTATGCATAAACAGCACACTCTCTCAATATACATAAATATCTTTTATTTACATAGGCAACTATTTTTTTTGCCATATGTTTCTATGCCATTTCAATGCTGTTAATATCTGGAAATGTTTAATATTTTGGGGAAATATTAAATCCGGTAACAATAGCATTGCGTGTACTTTGTAATCCCAGCATACAATCCTGTTCTTTAATCCAGTGCTTTTCTATTACTTTAAAAAAATCATTCATGATAGGAGTATTTCATGGTTACCAACAGGCTATATTTATTATTATAACTGAGGACTCTACATACATCGTTGCACAAAATTATAATGGACCAATCAACAAAACTATACAGTTTGTATGCAACTGTAAATAGCACTTTAGCGGAAGTTTAACACACTGTGCATTAGTTGTCTTATTAAGGTGACAACTTAAAATGATTACTTCATGTGAGTACAAAAATGCAAACTTTCATTCAAGGCATACACAAACACACAAAAAGGATTGTTATACATGCCACAGGTCTAAAATAAACATCAAACCCCTCCACCCCAAAACAAGATAAATGAGTAAGTACCAGCACTCTTAGCAACCACCAGTGTTACCACATTCGAAGTGTTATCTCTAGCAAGAAGCAGAGAAATACAATCTGAAGAAATGCCCTTAGCTTGGAGTTTTAGATTTAATGCAACTATGTCACATGAACTCCATGTTTTTGTTTGGCAAGAGTGAAAGAGTTATATCACTATAGAAGCACTTGACCAGTGTATTACCACCAATTCCTGAATCACTATATAAAGTAACTGTGCAATAGCTGACTGTTGAAAGAAATAGTGTCTTTACATCAAAAGGTGATATACAACCAAAATTCAAGTATTTACTATTAGACTGTAATTAATTCTGACCTTCTATTCCTGTGCACTAGATAAAGCAGATGAAGCATATTTTTTTTATTTTTTCATTTTTATTCTTCCCTTTGCCCTGTGAAAAAGTGCAGAGGGAAGAACTAAAGTGTAGGTGCAATCCTACATCTACAGCAGTTGGTGACAGGCATGTGGGTACAACTGTCTGCATCAAGATGACTTCTGGATTTCCAACACGCAGCCTCAATGCTCTCAGGTAACTCCCATCTCTACACCTGAGAGACTCCTGCTGTGCCCCTACTTTTATTTGCACCATTTTCACCAGCTGTCAAATCTGTTGCTCAAGGAGAAATGTTATGTTCTTTTCTGCATGTGAGCACCCGAGCTGCACAGTGTTATCTCTGGACAATCAGGAGATAAAGGGTGGAACAGTTCCTCTCTCGTACCAGGTTTTGGGACGGTCTGGAGAGACATTTACACTTCTGTCTCAGCACCACTGAAGAACTGCTGAAGACTTTGTAAGCTTGAAAGACACTTGTTTACAAAAAACATAATTCGGATTAAGTAAATTAAAAAAAAAAAATATCCTCTTACAGTATTTTAATTACTGCCTAGATTAATTTAAAAATAATATGAAATACTAAAGGTCTTTTTCTAATTAAAAATACTTTTTCTCCTGTTATCAAGTTAACCTCAAGACAGGAGTTAAACATAGGGGACCATAAAGTTTGGTGAAAAAATTCTACTACCTACAGAGTTATGAAAAAGAGTTCAAACTCTAACAAAATTAGTAGCACGCATGATCACAAAGAAAAAAAAAGTAATGAGAAATCTGAGATCTGTCTCTCAAAAAAAGTTTTCATAGATTTTGGTGCAAACACAGCACATTCTGTGAACATGGGGAATGAGAATGTGGACGCAGTTTTACCACCACTGCAAATTAATTGAGACAAGATGAAAAACTGAAATGTGAAAAACAAGGCCTGTGTATCATTTTTTAGCCCTCCAGCGCCCAGATACTTCATGCTTTGAAAATGACCAAGTACAGCAGGGACTGTGCTTTCGACAAAGAAAGGAAAAGAATTAAAATTAGGCTAGTCCTCTTCAAAGTGTATCTACAACCAGCGCTACCATAGCCTACCACTATATTAATACATGAACATTTTTATTTCCCTGAATATAAGGGAAAATAAACCACCAGAAAACACACTTGTAAAAAGATGAAAGCATTGGAAAACTACAAAGTAAGCAAGGACTGCGTGTTTGTATATATAAATCTTTATAAATACTCACATAGAAATGATTGTGATTTTTTGTTCATTGGTTTGTTTTCCCCAGATCAAAGCAGAACACAATGTATTCTTTCAAATGGGTTTAGAATGAGGAAGTATGAGTAGGATTGACAAAACAAATGACAGAGGAAAAGAACAGTGAAATTTTATTTCCTTGGCAAGTGGAAGTACAGAGATGTTACTGTAGCACTCACTGTTCTTACCTTTTAGATGTTAATTCATCATAAATTAAAGCATAACTACAACAGTGGTGGAATTTAACACACAGCTTATATTTTCAAATACTTAAGTTTATTTTTCTTAATAGTATCCCCACTTTACGCAGCCTACAAAATGCGCTTGCTGAAGAAAATGCATCTGCTTCTGAAAATCGTAATAGCAAGTGTTTTGGGCTGCTCAAAGAAGTAGTCCTGAAATTTCAGATGTTAAAGCTTTCTCCACAACCACATGTTCCTTTGATGTTTGGATTATTGAAGACAAATTCACTGGACAGTTTGTCTTCTACATAGTCCATTTCAGTTCCTAGAAGTGTCAGCTGTGCCTTCTTTTCAATAAACACTCTAACCCCTTGAAAGGAACAGAAAACCAGAAATTACATACAACAAAACCATCATTCAATTTGAAATTCTCTTCTGACCGGTAATTAAAAAAAAAGGAAGCTAAGACTACAACTTGGTTTCCCTGGCCTAATGTGGGGCACTTTCATCACTGTCTTCATTCTACCTGTAGAAGTCTGACAGAATTCTGGAACTGTTACTTATGTGTGCACATGAATGTCTTTTCTTTTGACAGGGGACAAAAAAAATGACACTGAGGGAAATAAGCTGTAGAAAAGGGCAACAAATCTCCCCTTGAGTGCACAATTCCCATGCATTACGGACAGTAACCCATTTCATTGGGTTACTGTCTGTAATGTCAACCCATCACTTTAAGCCCTTCTTAAAGTCTGTGAAGCCAACAAAATGCACAAAACTTTGACAATATAGATTTCTTCTCTCAAAATGACCAGGTTTCATTCCCCCACCACAAAAGCTTGTGCTGCTGCACCAGAAACTCACCATCTTGAACTACTTCTTCATCAGAGTCTCCTTTTGATTTTGTATATTCTAATGTGTAAGAAAGTCCATTGCATCCCCTTGTACGAACACCTACTTTCACACCTACCTAAAGAAAAAGAAACAATGAAAACCACCACATGCATGACTTCCTTTTTAAAACCTATCAAGTTACATCAAGTTAAAAAGTATGCAGAACAATGAAATGCTGACCTTTATTTTTTTCCACTGCCTAAATGCAGAAATGAATTACTGTAACAGATAAGAAGTACCTTTCTTTTTTCTTTTATCAATTTAACTGCCAAGGTAAAAAAAAACCATCTGATGCTTGCTGGAATGGATCATGCCATATAGTATGTTAGGTTTTTGAAGTAACAAACCATTGGCACACCTGTAGGAATGAGGTCTCAAAAAGAAAGTCAAATTTCAAAGACAGGTACTTTTGTAACTTCAAATTACAGTTTACTCAGATGCTAATTCAGGTACAATGACAAGATTATACATAGCAACATAATTATGAAGCTGTGAGGCCAAAACAAGGGCGGTTACTAGATTATCATAGAACTCTTGTAATGACACCACCACTTGAAACCAAAGTTCTGAAAAACGTACTTTGATTTTTCATTAATTGCCAGCCTCACTTAAGAAGCAAACCCCTCCCTAAATCAAGTATATGTGCATGTGTACTGTTTTAACCAAAGCCAACTTAGTCAATGTTTGTAACATTCACAGCATTCAACAAGTCTGACAAAAAGAGCATCCATACATGGAAAAAGCTGAGAAGTTTTAACAAAGTAGAAAACTATTTGTAAGAATCTTTAAGAAGTACATATATCACTATCTATACACCAGTGCTTCTTAACTGAAGAGGCAGATTTTATCATCTATGTCTATACATTGTGATAAAAATGTATCAAAATGTAACATTTCTCATCACATGGACTCTCCAGACAAACTGCATCAGATCCTGTCACATTAAACACCTTTCTCTACAGGAACTGTTACAAATAATGGGTTGGAAAACGCAAACACCATTTACAGCCAGGAAATGACTGACAATATAAATTGTAGGCCCAGGGCTTCCTTAGGATGGTTTAAAACATTAGAACAAATAAATCTAGTTAGTTGCAAACATGCAGGAAGCAAAATAAACAATGGCCTTGGTTGATAAAAGAAATATTCTTGAAACAATACTGTAAAACAAAACTAATGCTTGTTTTTACAATGGTTATAAAAGAAGACTCTGTGTGTCTTTTCCTCAAGAAGATGACAAACTCATTATCTGGTGAAACACTGGTTACTTAAAAAACACATTGTCTGGCAAGTTGTCTAAGATTTAGATGTTCTCCAATGCATATGAATATAATTTTACTATTGCATACTTCACAATGAAAATTCCTACAAGAACTTAAATAACAGCTGAAGAGCTCTCTTGCTATCAGAAATCACTACTATGCCACACTAATGGGTTTCATTAAAATGCAGCTCAAAAATATCTGAAGCTTAAAGTTTTTCCAGCTTTATTAATCTCAACAGTAACTGTATAGTGAAATGTCATTACAGTCTGTTGCTTCCTTCATTTCATTTTATAACAAGACAAAGCTGGATATGCAAATAAGCTTATGCATTCCCCACCAAAGAAGATGTTAACATCTCTAACAAACACCTCAGGGTTCAGTTCAAACCTCTAAGCTAGAAATGCTTTGCAATCATGAGCTGTGCTAATACCTTAGCATACCCTACAGACTGACCCTGTCTACACTTACATGGTCAGGTTTATCTTTCAGAAGCTCTTTTATCTTCTGGACAGCAGAAGGGGTCTGAAAGACAAAAGCATACATATACGTTTGATTTTGTTTTGTTTATTTGCAGTGAGTGCTTACATGTATTGAAGACGCCTGTAAGATGCTGTAAAACAGATGTCTGCTCCATCTAACTGACACAGAGCACACCAGCTCTCCTCTCCTCACCCACACAGCCAGCAAACAGGTATCTCAAGAATTCAATCCTTAATCCTTAACAGTGGGGTTTTGGCTGTTAGAACATCAGAATGGCTTCGGATGGAAGAGAGCCTCAAAGATAATCTAGTTCCAACACCCCTGCCATGAGCAGGGACAGTTGGCCAAGTTGGTCAAGGCCTTATCCAAACCGGCCCTGACCACATCCAGAATTTCCCTGGGCAACCCGTTCCAGTGTTGCACCTCCCTCACAGTAACAAATTTCTTACTAATACCTCATCTAAATCTCCCCCTTGTCTTATCACTAAGAGAAGAAGTGATCACTAAGATCACTCATCACTCCCGATGAGGAGTCCTTCTCCAGCTTCCCTGCAGGTCCCCTGAAAATTGGTTGCCATAAGGTCTCCAGACAACCTTCTCTTCTTCAAGCTGGACAGCCCCAACCTTCTCAATCTGTCTTTGTAAGGGAGCTGGCTGCAGTCCTCTTACCAATTTTGTGGCCTCCTGTGGACTTGCTCCATGACCTTCTTATGTTGTAGACCCCAGAGCTGAATGCACAGCAGAGCAGAGCAGAGCAGCAGAATCCCCTCCCTGGCCCTGATACCCATGCTGCTTTGGATGCAGCCCAGGATACAAATGGCTTTCCGGCTGCAAGTGCTCATATCTGGCTCATGTCCAGCCTCTCATCAACCATCAGACTTAACTCTTTCTTCATACGGCTGCTCTCAACCCATTCTTCACCTAACCTGTTGGTGTGCCTGGTATTGCCCTGACCTAGGTGCAGGACCCTGCATTTCATTTTGCTGAACTTCATGAAGTTTGTATCAGCCCACCTCTCAAGCCTGTCAAGATCCATGTTGCTTCCTTGCAAAATTTCCCCCCAAAATCACAACCCTAATTCAATCAAGTAGCTCTGTTCTTGTAAAAATTTTGTTGTGTACCTATTACAGACAAAAATTAGTTAGCTACAGATGGCTTATTGTCTACTTCTGTCTCCCTATTAACCCTAAGGGAGCCTTTAACTTAACAGCAGATAAAATTCACCATTTATGCAGATCTAGTTGATGCAGAAATGCAAGAATACAATGCAAACGTCAAAATTTCCATTACATCCCCACAAGTTTCTAAGACACCGAGAAAAGCATTAGTGAAGTTCTTACTATGAGCCGAATTAAACACAGAAAGCAAATGCCAAGTACACTTGCAGTAGAAAATAATTTCTAATTACCACTACCACTCTTGTTAGAGACCCTCTACTGAGCAAGAATTACCTGCTCTGACAAACGACTGAACTTGTGTGCACTCGATCTGCCCCTGTTCCTGCGAGGAATTGACCGTACTTTTCTCTGCAGTGATCCCTCTCAGAGTCAGAGGCTGGAAAAGACCTCTGAGATTATCGAGTCCAACCTATGACCGAACACCATGTTTTCCAAGTTTGTCCTCTACAGCACGGCCGCTAGTACAGAACGCACGCACTTTATTATTAACAACAGCATGTAATGCCTTCTTGGAAATAACCAACGAGACAGCCTCGGTAGATAACGCATTACCCTTTTTCAAAAAAATTTAATCAAATACTCTTTTTTAGGGTGTCTATGCGACAAGGCCCCACGCTCGCAGGGGCGGCACCGGTGCTGCCCCGGAACTCTGCGGTTCCGCAGACGGAGCGGCGGAGCGCCGGGCCTGCTCTCAGCGGCACTGGCCAGAGTAGGAGATACCGCCTCTCGACTAGGCAGGGGGAAGAGGAGCCCCCTGCAGCCTGCCCGCCACAGCCGCCCCGCTGGGGTTACCGACGCCGGCGGATCCCGGCCCGGCGCTGCCCGGCCGAGCGGGCACAGCCCAGCGGGGAGGCCCGTTCCCGCCCCTGTCCCTGTGCCGCCCCACTGCCCGGGCCGGAGGGGCCCGTGGCGCAGCTCCCGCACCCGCGAGGTGCCGCGGTCCCCGGGTCCCGCCCGCTGCCCGTCCGCAGCACTGACCAGCGTGAGGGCGGCGCGGGTCGCCTGGATCCTGCGCTTGCTGACGGCGCGCACCGTGGCGCGCACCACGGACGAGGCCATGGCCCGGCGCCCTCGGCCACGGGCAGCGCCGCCCACACGCCGTGACGCCACCGCGCATAGGCCGCGAGCAGGGACGGGCGGGGGCGGCTCCACCCCGGGACCGGCGCCCGGTCCGGCTCCGGCCTCCGCCCCAGGGCGGGGCTCCGCAAGCAGCGGGGCTGCGCGCCGAGATAAGCGGCAAAGGGAGCCGGGACGCCCTGCCCTTCAGCTGCCCCTGCGGAGGCCGCGGCAAAACAGCCTCCCAGGTGTCACAAGGAAAGGCGAGGTTTTTCTGAAACCCTTTAATGATTGGTCTGTTAGCGCTCTTGAAGGTTCAAGTTAACAGGTTACGGAATAACAATTTTATTAATTCAGAATGCTAGGGGTTTGGAATGGAGCTTGAAGATCACCTAGTCCCGACCGTTTTGCTGTGGGCAGGGACACCTCACACTAGACTAGGTTGGTCAAGGCCTTATCCAGAACTTCCCTGGGCAACCCATTCCAGTGTGCACCTCCCTCACAGTAACAAATTTCTTTGTAATACTTAATCTAAATCAGCCCCTTGTCTTAACACTGATGAAGAGTCCTGATGAAGAGTCTCCAAGTTCCCTGTAGGGCCCCTGCAGATACTGGAAGGTTGCAGTGAGGTCTCAGATAACTTTCTCTTCTTCAAGCTGAACAGCCCCAACCTTCTGATCCCTTCTTCATAACGGAGGTGGCTGCATTCCTCTTATCAATGCAGAGGAGGCCACACACTCAAACAGTTCCATATCCTTCTGGAGGCCTCAGGGCTGGATATGGTGGTCCAAGTGGTGTCTCACAAGAGGGGCAGAATCCCCTCCCTGGTCCTGCTGCTTTAGATGCAGCCTAGAATTCTGACATGTTAAGGTTCAAGGACTGCTGGTGAGAGTAGCTGACTGGAAAAACATATTCAAAGCAATATATTAATTCAAAGCAATGTATTAAAAAACTCTAATCCCTAACAAAAGTGAGCTTGAGACAATCATTTACCATCATAGAACACTATTCTTACCCCAGAGTTGTCTCCATAGGGGCAAAGAGAGTTTGAGCCTGTCAACTGATTCCAGAAGCTACAGTGGAGTCTTTACTAGCTTCTCACCCTTGTGAATTCACTTTTGTACTATCTTCTTCTGTTTAGATGGAGCTTAAGTGTCTGTAGCCATATAGCTTACCCAATGAGGGGCGGTTGTATGTTGGGGGCAGGTAACTCAGAATATATAATGTGTCAGCCTAAGGAGGGTGATTTCACAGAAGCCGATTCCACAACAGGACATTCTCCTTTATCTCTGTCGGTTTTCAGCTGCTATACAAGCTGTTCAGCAGCCAGAAAGGACCACAAAGTTTAAGGCAAGAGCCTTGCTACAATGAATGCTATTCCACCCACCTTAAGCATGTATAGTGAGTCAGGTATGCTGGCCACAGTCCATCCTGGGAGTAGTAATCCTATTTTCCTCTATAATTTCTATACTGTTATCTTTTTACCCCCAAGCATTTTCCCACACCAGGGAACAATGGAGGCCCATGAGTACATAGTCTGTCACCTACAAAATACAGGAACAGAATGTGAATACTTGTTGACCATCACACTGGCAAGCATTTAACAATGCATATGGCTATTCAATAGGAAGCTTTGGTCAGCAGGCAAAATCTATGTGCAGTGTGATCCAGTTTGGACAAATCCCTGAGAGAAGTGCACGGGACCTGGAATCAGTGACTATGATCCATCACAGACAATGCATTGTCTGCCCTCCTACTGACCAGGATTCCTGCCCTTTCCTACAGGTTCATGCCGGTCTGGGGCTGAGTGAAAGGATGGCCATGCAGTGGTCAGGGCTCAACTGCACTTCTTTATTTATCCCTGCTTGGTACAGAAGCATCGTGTGAGGAGAGCTCAAAAGCTGCTGGATGAACTGAGCTGCCATTCCCCAACTCCTGGTGGCTACAGCAACATGACTTGCAAGAAACCCCAATAGCCTTGGTACAGGGACACTCTTGGCATTACTTTAAGTATGCTGGCTACATCAGAAGGTAAACAAGTACTTATTTTTCATTTTCACATTCCAGCATTCTTAAATATGCTAAATACTTTAAATCGCTGTTTATGAAGTCCAAGCACAAGAACATTGGGTCTCATCACCTCACTCCCTGATTCTGGGCTTAGTAGTTCTGAAGAGCTTGATAGTAAGTAAGATGAGTTATGGTTTTTTTATATATATAACTATGCTACTGCTCTTTACTGAGGCACAGTACTACTACCTCAAATATAAAGATAGCAGGTGTGTAAAGAAAGTTGCATTTTTCTTTAGCTACAAGAAGGGTGTCTTCAAATGTAATTCATGCACACTGAGCATGCATCTCAACTAAACTATTCCTACTTAGGGGTGTGGGCTTTAATGGATTATTGAAGTCAGTACACTTGAAGGGGGGAAGCTTGTGTACAAATGCAGCTAATACCTTAATCATTCACACTCACCATGCAGGCACAAAGGATGCTTCCAATCATCATTCCTTAGTCCCCTGTCTGATGAATCAATCTGTGCATGGAAGACTGAGCATGGACTAGAAAAACAGACTTCTCCCAGAGAAGATAAATGCAAAAATCAGTTTTAAAATCTAATTAATTCAAGTGAGTAACAAGAAATATTGATGTTATCAGCGGAAGAAAAAGTCAACAACTTTCCATGCTAGAAAACTTCCATTCTAAGCAGCTATTTCTACGCCTAGAAACTTGCTAATGAAGGTAATTTTTTATATGGCTTCTGTGGCTCTTAGAAAAATGTGAAGATGTTTATAAAAGAAATTGCTGTGTATTAAATAAATTTAAGTAAAATTTTAACATACAGGGAAACAGTTTTAAATAGAGCTATGAAACTAATCTCACCAGAATAGTAAGATTAGGGAAAATGGATGTGTGTGATCTAGTAGTTAAACACCTAAATGACATTGACTTACCTGTATAAGAAAATTAACTGTGTTGCAAACCCAGATGAAAAACTTGATCTTTCTCAGCACTGATAACCTACTATTCACAGCATAAAACATATTTCAACTTTGGAAACTCAGACATCAAAAGCATGTGAAATTCATGTGAAGTATGATGACAGCACTTTTTTTCTAATAAAAAAGGCAGCATAAATAAACAACTGTGTGTCTCTTCATATCATTAAGAAAGACAGAGTATGCACCTGGTTCAGAAGAGGTTTATACACTTCATTTCCACCAGCAAAATTGGAATTAACTCTGAACAGAAAGCTAAATAAAGCACAAAGATAAAATGCTTGAAAATGTGTTTAGGAAAGAACACAGAAGAAATTATTTGTGAAAGCAGCACATCTAAAAGCTCAGATAGCTGACTTCAAATGGGTGAAAACCAAAACAAGACTTAGGATGCTTGTTCCCTAAGACCCCTTTGGCAATTCTAGCTTTCAAATTCCATAAAAGTAGATTGATAGGGAAAAAAAAACCTGAATATGATGGTTCTAAATCCAGATAATTATAGTAAGATAACATTAACTCTACATTTATGTCTGGAATATTGAAAACTACAACCTCAGGAAAAAATAGAGAAACTTAAGTCTGATTTTCACTTTTTTTTTTAAATTTATTTCAGATTCATAAATTAACAGTGGTTTCAATTTCAACATGTAACTAATTCTTTTCTGAACAAGATAAGATGGTACATTACCACCTCTGGAAGGACTTCAAGTAAAGTAAAATCCTGCTACGAATTAATGTAAATTCTTGACTGGTACAAGGATCTTCTTCACATTCTATGAAAATGGACGTCTATTTTTCCCCAGTTGCTAATATAATACCTCTGTTTCTTAAAGCAGTTTTGTTGTATCCCCAAGGCCTTGAAAAAGATTCTTAGCAGCAACAAAACAGGACTGACCTGTTACCTAGTCTTTCTTTCTTTCTTCTTGAATGCGAGCACAGCAGCAAATGAACTCCCATAAAATCACAGAACAGAAAACAACCTCATAAAATCTGAGTGGCATTGCTTATCCAAAGATTGTTTTACATATGATGGACTAGTGTCTATGTCTTTAGTTCTCTGGAGAAATAAAAAAGAATATACCGGTCTACAAACATCTCGAACACTTGCACAAGGATTCAGTAAACAATCAACATTAATAAATATCATTTGCTCCTTCAAAAGATTCATTTTTGAAGAAAATATAATTTATTTGGCTAGCACATAGTTTTAGTGCAGTTTAAAATGGGCAGGTGGAACAACAAAACCCTGAATACAGTCCATTTTTAGTAACTGCCCTTTTCTAAATTCATTACCTAGTAAACAAATACAAAACATCATGGCTTTCTATTAAAATGCTCAAACAATCTATTAAAGAGCAGGGGTCTGTATGAAAATCCACAGTGGCTTGTACTAGCAATCTAAAAGAAAACACCCATATTTTCATTGAACTTAAGCTGAAGGTTGTCTATGCTGCTGTCCTGTGAACTCAGATGCTTTAGCCAAAAACATTTCTTTCAAGTGAACGATGGACCTGTGTCGCAATTTGTCAGTGCTAATATCCCTCATGATTCTTGCTGGGTCCTCTTCTGTGAGGCTTTTCCCTGAGCCATGTATTTATTGGAAAGGCTGCCTAAATTGGGAGGAAGAAAGCAACATGCTTTAAAGGTATTTAAAAAAAATAAAAAGACATAAACCAACTGAAACAAAAAGATGGGAGAAAATTACTGTTAAGTCAAACTATAATGAAAGGATATACAGATCAACTTAAGATCATTACCTGCTGAAGGACAGAAGGAAATAACAAAATACAAAATGGAAAGGAGGCATTTTCTTGAACTAAACACCTAATGACAAACTACTTTGTGTTACAAGCCTTCCAGTGAACACAAAAAAATCCAATGTGTCTTCCCAACAAAACTGATAATTTTATTTTAGATACTTAATTGCAGACAAGTCTTTCCAAACTTCAGTAAACTAATTAGGTCCCCCTCCAACTGCAGAGAGATTAGTGTATTATATACCCATGCTGCTGGAAAGGTTTGCAGAGTCATCCTGGAAATTCTAATTAAAA